TCCATACCATGGAATATTATTTGTAAATAAAAAGCAATATAGTGCTGTCACATGAACCTTGAAAATGTCATAGCCTTGGCCAGTTGCTCAGTGGTTAGAGGATTGGCCTGCACACTGAAGTTCACAGGTTCAACTCTTGGTCCAGGACATGGAACTGGGTTGCAGGTTCAATCCCCATCTCTGGTCGGGGCTCATAGGAAGGGAACCTTTGACTGTGTCTCTCTGACATCGATGTTTCTCTCTCTCTCTCTCTCTCTGTCCCTCTCTCTCTCAGTGTCCATCTCTCTCTCTCTCCCTCCCTCCCTGCCACTCTCTCTAAAAATCAATGGAAAAATAATGCTGGATGACGATTAACAAACAAAATAATTATTATAATAATAAAAGGAAATATCGTGCTAAGTGAAAGAAGTCAGTCACAAAGGACCATGTGTTGTGTGATTCCATTTATATGAAATGTCCAGAATGGACAGGAAGCAGGTCAGTGGCTGCCTAGGGCTGGGAGAGGATGGAAACTAACAGTCAGGGGATGTGGGTGTCTTTTGCTTGTTTTTTTTTTTTATTTCAAGCAAATGAAACGTTTTAAAATTGACGGTAGTGATGTGTGACTGAACGAAAAGCCATTGAATTGTACACTTTAAATATGTGGGAATTTTACCTGCATAAAGCTGCTACCCCCTCCAAAAAGTGATGGGTGCACAGCTGTGTAACTGAAGGAAAAGCCATTGAGATGTACACTTTAAATATATGGGAATTTTACCTCCATAAAGCTGCTACCCCCTCCAGCCCTCCCAAAACAGTCTCCTCTTGATGTACTCAGCCCTGCGCCTCCTGCCACGGAGACTTACATGCAAAAGGAGATGAGACACAAACACAGGGACAGCAGGGCCAGGGCTCCAGCCCCTCCGAGAGCAGCAGGAACCACTCCCGCCTGGGGCACTCCGGCCTTCCCTGCAGAGAAGAGGGGCCTGAGACACCCACTTGCGGGACTCTGTCTACTCTTCCTACCTCCTCCCAGAACGCACTGTAGGTCTGTTCAGCCAGGAGATGCAGGCCCTGTCCTAGCAATCCCCCCTGTCCAGGCCACAGCCCCCTCCCCTCCCCAGCCCCACCCTCTCTCTGACCCACTCCTTTCTACGTGGCC